AATATGTACTAGATCCTGTGGCAATCTGGTGTTCCACATAAACTTTTAAAATCTTATTTGAAAATAGCTATCACAAAGAAGGGACAGGCTTGTGTACGTAATGACAAAATAGATAACCCACCCCTCCAAAGATGGTGGCTGTGAACAGGATGATTTTGTCAGCACATAAGAATAAACCAAGAGTTATGTTACTGTGCTAGCCTCCCTGCTATGTTACAGTCTCCCTGAATATGTGGCTTGATACTGTCTCAGGTTTGGCAATGTTCTTACTCAGGCATATGGTTCTAGGAGACTTCAATCTGCCATTCCTATAGGTAAATTTGAAAGCAGCACAAGGTTTCATGGATTCACAGTAGGGTCAAGTGCTTTGTCTTGGTGTGGTTGTGATGTGATTTGGAGTTATGGGACGGTAACATCCCCCTTTGTCATGGGCAGATCATTGTCTGTTGAGCCTGAAAATATTGTACATACTACTGTAGCATGTATGTACACACACACACACACACACACACACACACAGAGAGAGAGAGAGAGAGAGATGTGGAAGATATTTGGGTGGCCCACTTCAAGCACTTAATGAACCTACTGGATTTCAAAAGGAACTTGTAGTTTTGCCTGAACTTTTCATGGTATGCATGAGTCTTTGGTTATCACCTGGAATGAAATGGTGGCATTAGACCAGATCATGACCATGACAATTTCAAAATGCATTTGGTTGTAAAGCAACAGAAGGGATGCTTAGAGTATTGCTAGAGGAAAACTTAACAATGAATCTGCTTTGATGTAGCTAAGATCCTTTGTGATAGCCTACACAGTGATATTATGAGCAGCAAAGAGTGCTTATTTCTTGACTTTTATTATGTCTTCTGAGTGTTGATCAGCAATTCTGTTCAGGATGAAGTAAGGGCTGGTGGAGCATCTTCATGATGACTGTGAAGTTTGTTCTCAACATATGGTAAATAAAATTGCTCTGAGATAGATCCACTGAGCAGCTCCTATGGAGGTGCTGTGATGTTATCTGAGAAAACTTTGAGCTGAGAGTCCTTAGGAAGAGAACAGGAGGAATGGCCACCTGTATATTAGATCTATGTCCCTCCTAGTTGGTCGAAACTTCCATGGAATAAATGTGTGGGTAGATCTATGTGGTAGTAAATGCTTTTCTGAGGTTGGAGAGGAGGTGGTTCCAGTGGCCTGAAAGAGGCAGTGGTTGGTCCTCTTCTTGAGAGATCCAGCTTATCTGGACAATTTTTATGCAGTCTCCAATCTATTTGTCAAATTTGTATGACTGCCCATCTCACACATATAAAAAGTGAATTTGAGCAGCAAATAACATTGTTCTATTTTGCAATAGTGGTGAATATCTGTAGCTTGGGTGTAGGATGAGGGTGAAGGTTCATCCTCCAAGCTTGTGGGTTGGTTTCCGAACATTTCATTACCAGGCTAGGTAACATTTTCAGTGGAGTTTAGGGGATGTCAGTGTCAGTGTTCTTCTGTTTATAAGGGCTTTGTGTAGTCAGTAGGTCTTGTGAAGGTAAGGCCATGTCAGGTGAGGGTCCCATCAGGCCAGGATCATGTGATCAGTCTTGTGGTGGGCCTTGTGATGGGTCAGATGTGAGTCACCAATGAGAGTCTTGTGATGGGTCTTGTGATTGGTAGGTTATATCAGGTGAGGGTCATTGGGAGATGAAGTGCTGGTTGTGGAAGTTTGAGGATCAGTGCTGTCTCTGGTTGGCTGTGTGGTTGACTTGGATTCTGAGAGATTCATAGGCTGGTTGTAGGTCAATGTGTCTGTTGATAGAATTGCTTGTGGAGTGCCAGGCATCGATAAACTCAGAGCATGGTGGGTGGTAGTGTGGCCAATGATTTTTCTGTTGTTCAAATTAAACTGGTGCTGTTTGGTGTCAGTTTGGGTAGAGATTAATGATTTGGGATCATGACATTTGACTGCCAGATGGTGTTCATGGATCCTAGTTTTTAATCGATGTGATGTTTGTCCCACATAGAATTGTCTGCAATTGTTACAGTTGATTTTGTAAATTACATTGTTTCTTTCATCCTTCTGTATCTTGTCTTTGGTTCTGGATAATTCCTGGTGGAGTGTGGATAATTCCTGGTGGAGTGTGGATGTGGGTTTGTGGGCTATTGCTATTGTTCTTTGCTGGATGTTTATTTTGGCACCATTCAGAGTTATTTTATTTGTGTTGGGCAGCTGTATAAATGCTTGAAATAATTAAATTAATAATCCCTCTAATCACATTAGAATTAGTTTTTCCTTCCATAGCCAGAATGCCTGCAAGTTAATAAATATACAGGTATAAACAGGCAGCTAAGTTTCCATAAGTCTGAAACATTTTCAAAGAAGTCAACTTATTCTTGCATTCTTGGTTACTGCCATTGCAAGATCTGGATAACGATGTTTCGTTTTTGGACCTAGTGTTAATAATACCAACACTTCTGTGCAGAGAAACATGGTAATTACAGGGATAACTCTCAAAGCTGCAGGAGGTAGTCAATGATATCCATCCATGACTAGCTGCTATAGAATTGCCAGTTAATTAGGATACAATCTCACAATAGCAGTATCTTCACAATAACATAGAGCAAGCCACCATAAGGGTGAGTCATTCTTAGTGTCATATTGGAGACAGACAATCAAATGTCTTCTGGATATTGCAGATAGCAGAACAATCTGTGTCTGTGCTTTTAATTTAGGAATGTATTCATGACACTTACCGGGAATCTGGTGTTCCCAAATGTCAGTATCTTCCAAATGTAAAGGTTACTTGTACAAGATATAACTTTTATCAGCCTGAAGAAGGAAGGGATTTGGGGAGCTGTAGTCCAACTAATCTGGAAAACACTATATTGTACATTATAAAGACACAAACTATGGCCTATAGCCTTTTTTGTTTCTTTGTCCCAACAAAAGTCTCCAATAGTTGGTGTCAATTTGTAGATATTAAGGAGATTTTAAATGAATGAAATAAGTATTTTAAACATTGTAGAGACTTGATGCTTCCAAATTCTCCCTGTTATCTGAAAGACTGAAAATACTGGCTCTGGTAATTCCACATTATTACTGGCCAAAATCAAGAAAGAATCAGAAATGGTAGAGTCAGTCAGTCAGTCAGTCAGTCAGGGAGGGAGGGAGGCAGGCAGGCAGGCAGGCAAGAAGGAAGGAAGGAAGGAAGGAAGGAAGGAAGGAAGGAAGGAAGGAAGGAAGGAAGGAAGGAAGGAAGGAAGGGTGTCTCTCCCTCTAAAATTGGAAGAGAAGTTATCATTAGTATATAGACATAATTGCAACTAATAGAGCTAAGTCACAAGGAGGAATAGAGTTATATGGCACCCACAAAACCTATACTGAGGTTGGATTTTATATTACCCCATATTGTTCTGGGAAGCTGATGCATCTTTGAGCGTGTGCCTATCTATCTTTTTGCACACACAAACACAAAAACTTGCATAGATACATATTCTGAAATAATTTCTGTGTTCTTCATTAATATAGGTTAATGTTTTGCCGTTTTATTGTGTTTTAAAATTTTGAAACAATTTTGCAATCTAACCCACACATTCTAGTTGTTGGGTGTATGTGTTAAATGATAAACAGAATACACACAGTCTTCAGAGGTCCTCCAAGTTTTAGGTTCTACTTGTGGGAGAATTATGGGATGGGGAGCAGATGGAGAACTATCTATGCTGTTTTAAACTGTGTATCAGAAATGCCAATCAAAATGTAATACATGTACTGGAACCTATCTGAATGTTCGTCATCACACATCTATTAAAAGAGCCTTTGTTTTTAGCCTAGTAATGATTGTAATTAAATTGATTCATGGAAGTGGGAAGGTTGTACAGTATCACTCTGTCCCTCGCTAATTAGATTTGATTAATTTAAAGCTTAATATTTGTCAGGAATGTTCTCTAAGCATAGCTAAGGCCTTTCCATTTACAGAAATATTGCCACCCCAGCACTGTTTCTGACGTCATGTGATTCCATCTTCCATCTCTACTGGCAGCAAAGTTAATTTCTGTCTCCACTTCACTGTACTGAATTGCTGCCAAAGACCTTTCTCTCCTGTCTGTCTCAAGAGCAGGGCCAGTGCTACCATTTCATGCAGGTAGTCTTCATTTAGTGACTGCCTCACTTGCTGACCATTCACAGTTGCAATGGTGATGAGAAAGTAAATCTGCAACCAATCCTTGCATTTACGATCATTTACAAGTCTGGAAAGCAAATGAAAGTAGGATCATAAGCACAGTTGTGACTTTGCTTGAACACCAAGTTGCCGGTCCCAATTGTAGTCACTAAACAAAGATGATGTGTATTGTCTTTAAAATGAGCGACAGGCGTGAGGGGGCTTTGAAAACATCTTCATAATAAACTGCTGCATGACTTGGAAAGCACAGAAGGTAACATGAAAAGTAATCAGATCCATCGATGGAGACAAGATACAGTGCTGTTGGATGTCAAGTCATACTTCCCTCATAAAGTGTTTTGAGGAAGGCTATTGTAAGACGAACCACTACTCACTTTGAAAATGGTTTTCAGGGCAAAAATTAGGTCCTGCTATTCAGCAGGTTCTGACAGGTTCTGGAGAACTGGTAGCGGAAATTTTGAGTAGTTTGACAAACCAGTAAATATCACCTCTGGCTGGCCCCAGAGTGGGATGGGAATGGAGATTTTGCAGTATCCTTGCCCTGCCATGCCCAACAAGCCATGCCCAACAAGCCACACTACACCCAACAAGCCATGTCCACAGAACCAGTAGTAAAAAAAATTGAATTCCACCACTGATGAGGTCTGCATGTAAACACCGTTTCACTCAACTTGAAACATACTCCACAGGTTTGACTAAAGGCCAAAAAAGCCGGACTAAATGAAAACATAATTTATTCGTAAATTCTAATTTATTTAATAAAAATACAAAAATATAAATATACATATTTATATTTGTATATATATATATATATATATATATATTTAGATAGATAGAAAAATATGAATCAACACAGACATTTTTAACTCAATAAATATGGCAGTAATATTCATTCTTTTTTTTTATAAGGAGTAATCAGTTTATGTTATAGGATAGGGGACAGTATAGGGGACAGTAGCAAGGAAAGTGAAGTAAAGTGTTATTTTTTTTTGAACAAAAAGTTGTGTTCCCAAAGTCCTCCTGAAAGGCACAAAAAGCCTTGTAAAGATATTTTACCCACCTACCCCCCCAATTAATACTGTATTGAATATCCTCTTTCTAACCTCTTAGACAAAAAAGAGGAGATATTACTTCTGTTTTAAAAAACAGTCATTTTCATTCACACTGACTTATTAAGCAAACTTTTACTAAAACATACACTTATGTTTTGTTTGTTTGTTTGTTTTTCCAAGTAAGAGAATATAGGCCACTTTAATCTAATTACAGAGGTGTTGATCTCATCAGCAAGGAGCTACTCACAAAATACTACTTTCAGGCTGTGATCTAAGAATCTCCAATATCCATGAGGTGCTCCTTCCAATAGGACATCTCCCCCTACCCAGTCTCTATAGTTATAAGGAATATTCCATGTGCATATCATGGGTCTGTCTGCACAAGGCCACTGCCTGGCCTCCTCACTCAGAAAAAAAAGGAGAAGAGAGGAGAGGAGAGGAGAGGAGAAGAAAGGAGAGGAGGAGGAGAGGAGATCCCTGCTCATGCACATGAATGCTGGAGCTGCATCAGTAATCTTGAAGGAGGCAGTTAGTCCTGGTCACTCTCATCTCCACCATACATGTCTGCTAATTTTTTAAATCGTGGCCCCCAGTCACTCAAATAATCATAGTCTTGATTTCCACCATCGGCGGTAAGTGACTCCAAAGAACTAAGTGAATTTGCTATAGAATCATTCCCTTCATAGGCATATGTTGCTAAAGAGTCATAAGGGGGTGCAGTTGGATCCAAGTCATTTTCCTTTAGTCTACGATGGATAAAATCTTGAATATCAATGTTTTCCCACAAAGATGCTGTCCTCCTTATCTGGAAAATAGTTTCTGGCATCACATCTCTTCTCATTTTGCTTTCCTCTCTGGCTTCAGGGTTCCTCAGCGTGCCAATATCAAAAGCTTGGGTATCTTCCTCCCCACCTCCTTCATCGTTATAGGTGACAACGTTGTCTCGGACATCATCTTTTGAAATGATCAAGGGCTCTTTTTTCCTCTGGCGCTTCATTGCAGCAAACAGCACAACCAAAACTGGAAGACAACAGTAACAATACAGATGGGCGATGAGCACTGAATAGGAAATTCATGGATTAGGAACAATGTTGGCAAAGCTAAGAACCTTTAACATTCATTAACTGCAACAGGTAAGATTAAGATAAATATTACACTCTTAATTAAATGAAGGGAGTTAAAAAGAAAAGCTCATTGAAAAGAGCTTCTTTATCAATATGGAATGAAGCGCAGGAATTATTCTTTAAATATTGTTTGATGATATAATGGCCAACATATGAATGGGCTTGTTAAAATGATTAATCTAACCAGGATATATTTACAGTGCATTCAGAAAGTATTCAGAACCCTCTTCACTTTTGTCAATTTTGTTATGCTGCAGCCTGATTTCTAAAATTCTGTTTTCATTTTGTCATTAAGGGGTATTGACTATAGATTAATGAGAGAAAAAATGAATTTCAACAACTGTAGAATCAGGCTGCAGCATAACAAAATTGACAAAAGTGAAGGGAGTCTGAATACTTTTTGAATGCAGTGTATATTTGAGCCCAGTGCAAATGAGTTTCTTATGTATGTTGTGATTTATCCATAGGAGCAAGAACTTTAATTTTTAAGCCAGATTCCCACTTTCATAGGAGGAATTATGCATCTTAATATGTGCATAAGATTTTGTTTCAGTCTGACACTGATCAGGCATGAACAGTGAGCAAGATTCATACATATCCCAGAACCTAAAGACATGGAAACATTTGGCTCTGAAGGCATATTTGAAATTCTGGGGAAATGTCAGAAGTACTACCATAAATACTGCCATGGGATGAGTAGGGCAATTCAGAAAATGGGATAAGGCCAAGCCAGCAAACTAAATTAATTAAAAAAAAAAGCAATACAAGCATTTTAAGGCATAGATAACTTTTAAAAAGGCTATATATTTTCTCCACTACACCTATAAATAGCTCAATTGACTTTTTCCCCTTTTCTAAAATAAATGGCATATTCTCATCTTAATCAGGTGAACTACACCTCTCCAATCCATATTCCCCTCTTTTTAAAAGAAATGCATAGAATGACATGATTGTTTCTCCAGTTTTCTCATATATTATATATGGTTCTGTTATTTGAGTTTTTATGTATACAGAGTTAATTGGTAAATACAGACCAGAATTACTGTAGCTTTGATTAGTAAAATATTTATTTTATTTATTTATTTTGTCACATTTCTATGCCGCCCAACTCCCAAGGGATTATATGTTGTTTACCTGCATTTTTGTTATGTGATTCTGTTTGAAGGACTCTTTTGGAGTGCTTTTTATATATTATATAAATGTGCAAAATGGTGGAAAAGAATTTTTTTTCAAGGTCTCATTATCTGTTTTCTGGATAATAAGGGCCATCTCTTTTGAAATCTTAGCTTTAAAATAAAATTATGAAAACAATCCATTATCAAAATGGACTCAATGTATTCTTTTTTCCCTTCAACATCTTGTCAACTGTTATATGCTATCTATGCTTACCATTCTATATAAAATAGGTTTTCTGCTTTCTGTGTATAAAAATATTTGTTTTATTTGGAGTAAGCTCTCTTGTAACCTGTTTTCTAATTTCCCGAAATATCAATATATCAACTTTGGCCTAGTTTTGCTTTTTATCAATTCTTTTATGAATCAAAACCCCTAAAGTAGTTTTTTCCCTTTTTCCCATTCATTCACATTCCTTTTCTAGATCTTCTTAATTTTCTTCTTTTCCCCAGTCTTCCTAGCAATTTCCCTCATAGCCTTTTCCATTAGGCCAAAAGGAGCATCTTGGAAACACTAGTGGTCAGGTCATCCATTATTATGGTCGCACATTTGTATATTTAGACAATAGCACTAGGTGCCACATTCTTGAAAGCCCTTTTGTATATTTCGTATCCATGGATACCAAATGCCCAAAGAAAGCTTTCATTGTACTGAGAATCATTTAAAATGTTGCAGAAATAAATTGACTAATAAATGCAGGTGGCTTATCTGGTCTGGTCTATTCTGTTCAGAATGTTTGAATGCAGCACTGAGAGGGGGAAAAAACCCTCACAATGCTTGTTGGAATAATAACAGGATTCTTTTTCTGCCTTATCTACAGAGAGAGTTCACAGCAGCTCTTCAGTTTCCACAGTCAGCTTCCTCTAGTATTTTTCATCGTTGTTATAAGGAGAAATAACATCAAGTGTCATACTTAAAGACTGACACTTTATTTAAAAAACAGATCTTAACAGCTTGGTTTAAAAAAACAAACAAACATGCTATCAAATTACTATTTGGATGCTTTATGAACTTTTGCATGATTTCCACAAAAGTAATCTGACAGCATATTTTGAAATCCTTCAACAGTTATCTATAAATATATTTTAAGTGACTGGTTGTTGCTAGGCCTTTCCATCATCATCATTATTATTAGCATATATCATTATAGTAGCCAGGATACGACAATGCTATGGCACAACAGTAATCTGGCTTGCCAAGGGATCAGACCTGTTATAGGACATGTTTGCATGCTTCCCAAGGTGCACTACAGGAGTATAAGTTCACACCATAGAGAAAGATGCTCTTCCTGTAGCATCCACTGTTAGAGAAAAATTATTTCTCTATAGCTGTGCCTATTAATGGCTTTTGGAATGTACAGATGTGTGTGCCAATCAGAGGGCAGCTAATATGTTTGAATCTCCAGGGCCATCCCTAACGGTCACAGTTAACAGTACAAAATGAGATTCTTAACAGAAGCATTTGCTCTTCAGTTTGGTATTCAGTTTGCTGTTCAGTTTGCTCTTCTGTCTAGTATTGTATTGTATTCTAGGATCTTCCTTTAGATAACTGTGAGCAATCTGGAAGTCCATTGGAAGAGCAGTTCTGTGATATATTGTGGTATTTCTTCTGAGGAAGAATATTCATAGATAGCATAGTTTAGAGAGAATAGGTATGTATATAGATAGATAGCTGACAGTATAATTTATAATAGTAACTTAGTGATGTTTATTAATTGTATATTTATTTATTTATTCATTCATTCATTCATTCATTCATTCATTCATTTATTTATTTTATTCAATTTGTATACCGCCCTTCTCCTAGTGGACTCAGGGCGGTGCACAGCCAGAACTAAAACACATACCAATACAAAATTTAAAATTATTAAAAGAATTACATACTTTGGCCCAAATTTAAAACAATTTGAATTAAAACTCACTGACAGATTAAAAGCTAAAAAGCTAAAAAGCTAAAAAGCTAAAAAACTATATATAAAAGGGGGGGTTTCATGCCAGCCCTGCTTGATGGAAAAGAAAAGTTTTCAGGGCACGGCGAAAGACCCGGAGATCCGATATCGTTCTTATCTCCGGGGGCAAATCATTCCAGAGGGCCGGAACTGCCACATATTATTATGTTTTTATTGTGTAAATAAAACCATTTGCTGTAGGCTGCTTCAGAGGCTCATTTGTTTAAGTAGAGTTTCATAGAGATAGAGGTTCATGGTTTACTGATTTATTAACCTCCACAACATCCACCAAGACCCCCTCCCTTTCCAGAGCTACTGCAACCAGGAAAATTCAAACCCATCAGGAATCGGATTGCCTGCACAGAGCACCAGCTCATCTCCCTATTGAAGTGTTACCTATCTATCTACTTGCATAGAACATACTTTCAAACTGTTAGGTGGACAGAAGCTGACACAAGTGACAGGAGCCTACCCTGCCACGCAATGTCTGGGTTCGAACTGCCAAAGCGGAAATCATCTCCAGTGTCATTAAACCAAGTGTCTCGTGTCTTTCTATCCAATACACAGCACTATCAACATCATCAACATCATCACAACACAATCCAAACTGTTCTGATTCTATTCTCCCTCTAGTATTTTTTTTTGAGTACACCTTTTAACTTTTCCCATTAAATTTTTATATTTCCAGAAAATGAACTTTAAATTTCAACAAACCAGAAGAACCAAAAACATGAAAAAATATATTTAAAACTTCTGAGTGTGAGAATCAATTTTGGTGTCATCTGATATTTTAATAAACCAAACTCTCAGATTCCATAGTGAAATGTGTTGGTTGAATTCATGGAGGGCAAGATGATTAGAGAGTAAAACTCAGGTGCATCCCATTTTCTACTCACAATTAACTGAGGTGCAATAATTCAATGTGACAAATAAAGTGAATTTTGATACCAGTTAACCAGATGGGATCTTGAACTTTAAGAATTGTACAGTACCATGTTTCCCCCAAAATAAGACCCAGTCATTCATATATATATATATATATCCACCAAAAAAGGCGCCAGATATTTGGGGTGGGGGGTGTCTTCCACTGACTCACCTCACTTGCGTGCATCCCCCAACCTCTTTTTTTGCTGTCAGAGGCCTTTAGGAACTTTTTCTGCAACCAGCAAGGGCATCAAAGCTTTCCTGAAGGCTTCTGCAGCTGATAACAGAGCTCTGGATAGATCCGGAGCTCTGTTATTGGCTATAGAGGCCTTTAGGAAAGCCTTGCCGGCCTTGCCGTCTGCAAAAGAAGTGGGCCAGCAAGGCAGGTATCAGGATGTGCAAGGCAACTGTCCTTGCACATCCCAAGTAGGGCAGCTCCACCCTACCATCCCCAGCTTAATTTTTACCCATGCGCTTCACCCTACCCAGTGCACCCCAGAGTGGGTGGGGTCTTAATTAGGGCTTATTTGGGGGGGGGTTTAGGGCTTACAGTATATTGGGTGTAAGTGTAAAAATCTACTTAGGGCTTATTTTCAGGATAAGTCTTTTTTGGGGGAAAACATGGTATATAACACATGATTATTTTAAGGAGTAGGTGAATGCCTGTTTTGCAATAAGAATAATGGTAGGATTTTGATTTTAGTAATACAAATATCACCAGTGTGATAAACAGCTGATTTTGGTGCATTTACCACTGAGTAATCCCTAGAAATTAGCAATTTATTGCTATCAACAGCCGTTCCCATCTACGAAGGACCTCAGAACATGTAGTACTAATGAGCAAAATTGTTTACACATTAAGTATCTGGCAGAATCTCTAAATGTTTTTTTAAAAAACTGTAGAAATTTGAAATGAGTTATCAATCAGAAATGAAATGTACTACATTACTGTTGAATATAAAAATCAAATCTGAGTCATGCCATCATCAGTATCAGAACTATCTTTAGAAATATTCCATTTTAAAACCAACCTTTAAATAACTAAGCCAACAAGCTAAGTGCAGCCCATTGGTGATGTATGGTAGTCCACAAGTATCTCAGTCAATCTTTAGATTGTGCTGCATCCTTGGCTTTACAAGACTGAGAGTTCTCCAGCACCTAAATGCTGGAGAATTTACCATTTGTGAAAGCCTGGATTAAGGAGATTCTTCTGAAAATATAGTCTCCTTGAAACAATTGTTGTTAGTTGAAAAGTCGTGTCCGACCCATCGCGACCCCATGGACAACTTTCCTCCAAGCCTTCCTGTTGTTATGGTCCGCCAGCAGCCTGTGGAGCTAGCAGTGGAGTTGGACAGTGAGGAGGCTTGGGAGGACCATTGGCCAGTCCTGGAGTCTGCGGAAGGCCCTGATAAGGGGTCTGCATCGGAGGCAGAGATAGAGCCAGGGCCATCTGGGAGTGATGCGTGGACTCCGGAGCCTCCAGAGTCAGACAGCAGAGAGGCAGAGGAACTGGAGGAGCCTGATCTTAGTGCACACATGTGCAGAGCTGCCAGAAGGCAATATCAGCTAAAGTAAAAAGGACAACTCGGGAGTAAGGCCAGGAGATGACTGACCCCTCCCATAAGGCTTAAAAGAGCAGCAAAGGCTCTTGGGCTCTTTGTAGGAAAGCAACATTGTTAAATCTGTTTCCAGTCGGCGTCTCTTGTTTCTGAACTTTGTGGAGCTTTGCCAAGAAAGGCCTTTGGCAGGGTGCCAAAGAAGATAAAGGTTTGTGATAAGGCCAAAGGACTTTTTTTGAAGGACTTGTTTTGGAATTAATTTGGACTAAGCTGGGAATGAAGTAATTCTCAGCTATTATAATAAAATAGATTTGTTTGAGACTAATTGTGTCTTGTAATGACTAAGTGAGTCTAGGTCACAACACCTGTTCTCTACCATCCCCCAGAGGCCATTTAAGCTCACGCCGACTGCTTCAGTGACTCCATCCAGCCACCTCATTCTCTGCCGTCCCCTTCTTCTTTTGCCCTCAATCATTCCCAGCATTAGGCTCTTTGAAACAATATCCAGGTACAAAGAAGGAAAAAGGAAACGGTCCACTTACTTAGCAGAATAATGATGCAGAGCAGAATGGCAATGAGTGCACCTGTGCTAAGACCTGCCGGAAGGAGCAAAGCTTCAGCGTTACAAGACTGCATATTTCCCCTGCTGTCACAGGCACACACTCTGATGCTCAGTGTGCCCGTACTACTCTGGATGGGGTAGTCATTGTCAAATATTATTACTGGCAGGAGATAGGTGCTCATTTTACTGCGGCTATATCCATTCCGTCTGGTTACAACACCTGCCGTGTTATCTGCACCAGAAGAACCAAGACACAGAAAATTATATTTAAAACATTGTCAGCAAAGGACTCCAAGTGTAACATAGAGAGCCAATAATGAAAGCCCACCTTTGTTATCCACAATAGAGAAATTTGGATGGACTGTGTATTCTGGCACCAGTTCAAAAAAAAATTTGTGTCCACGTGGTGGTTCATCTTTATCCACAGCACTAACAGTTTGTATCAGCTGCAAGGAAATAATGATATGTTGTCAGGCAATATAAATGTTACATCTTTTGCTTTGTAGCATAATCTGCTCAGATAAATACCTGTAGCGGTGTAGAGAGAACCACATGGATCAACTTTTACTATGGTTTTACTGAGTTTAACAGATCTACATGCAAAGGAGCTCTAGCACAATTTCCCACCGCTGTGAGGGACTGTTCTTTGTGATTATCCTGGCAGCATGGAAGCTTCCGGCCTAATATGGCTTCCACATGGAGCATGTGATCATCTGAGGAGTGAGGGGATGGTTTTGGGGGTTTTGATTTACTGAGGGAAAACCCGGACCTCTCAGATTCAGGTTTCCCCAGATGTGCCAGTTTACCTATTCTAGTAAAGAAAACTTTGAAAAATGCTTGCTTTGGAGTTTTACTTGGAGTTGGGGGGTTTTCTGGAATGCTGACATATCCATCAGTTGCTCAAACATAATAGCTTTCAAGCAAAGGGCCAAATAACTTCTGTGGGTTGCTGAAAACTAATAAGATTTATTTAAAAATAAATAAATAAATAACAAATGCCCAATTTTAGCATTACCAAAGTTCCAAAATGTGTAATCACAGGGACGTTTTGGTATACCATAAGCCATATTCACATTTCAAGTGGCACAACAAGGAAACCTTACATTAAGCCAGCATCCTATATGTGAACTATAGCATATTGCCCAGAATATTTTGAAGTGTGCAGGATGAGTATGATAGATGTTCCCTTCTTTTTAAAAACCATTTTCTACCTTTTCTTAATTATTGTACTTTCCATATATAATAACCGAGGTTTGTCTGGGTGAATGGTTTGCAGATGGACAAAACATCTGTAACACAAAATTATAAAACAATGACAATGTAACTGTAGGAAAAAAATATTAACAATTGGAGCTGGAAACCATCGGCAATACATAAACCAAATTTAAAACTAACAGCAGCTGCAGGGAAAAAAAAGACTTAAGAATATGCAAGGAAGGATATTAGAGGATTGGGAGAAAAAAAAAAACAGAATCATTAGTGCTCCAAAGACTCAAATATTAGGCAAGTTTTTCTTACGAAGGCAGTCTACTAAAGATATTCAAGAACTGCAGTAGCAGGAACAAAGGAACAATGACCTAATATGCTAATGTTAAGGTAAACTGGGGGATGGGGGATTGCAGGATAAACTGGCAGTCTGGATCCTACCCAGTTATGTCTTTCAGATAAAAACCAGCATCATCTTTCATACCAATTCAAACTGATGATTAGTGCAGTTATCAAACTCAAAGTGCAAAGTGCAATCAATTCAGCAAGTTCCATTTAACAGTTTAGTTTTTTTCCCCTACTTAAAAAAAAAACAAAACATCAACCCTCCCTCCCTCAAACATCCCCCAACTTGAAATTGTCAGATTTTTTCCCCCCAAAGGCAGTCCCATGCTTAACACATTAAAATAAATCAAATGGGCTATGTGCTGATGAACTCTGAAAAAGATTTTTCTGGAAAGTAGCTAACTGGTTGGTGTAGAAAACTAAATTAATTAGCACTCCATCCACAATGCTACTGGTGATATGTTTTTTTTAAAAAAAATATTTTGTCAAGCACGTATTAGATAACATATATAAGTATAAACATGATTTGAATACATGGAATAGATATGAATAAAAGGGAACATTAGGACAGGGACGGTAGGCACGTTGGTGCACTTATGCTTGCAGACCGCTTAGGAATGGGGTGAGGTCAACAGTAGACAGTCTAAGGTTAAAATTTTGGGGGTTTGGGGATGAAATCACAGAGTCAGGTAGTGCATTCCAAGCATTGACCACTCTGTTGCTGAAGTCATATTTTCTGAATCGAGTTTGGAGTGGTTTACTTTAAGTTTGTATCTATTGTGTACTCGTGTATTGTTGTGGTTGAAGCTGAAGTAATGATTGACAGGTAGGACATTGTAGCAGATAATTTCATGATTATTTATAATAATGGCTTGATTCTCACTCACAAGGAATATTTTTTTGTCTGTACTGTATCTCAGATTAATGGCTCTAATTCAGCCCATTTCTTTGTCCAAGTATTGGATGAGAGCATCAACTCTGTCTCGCTTATTCCAGAAGGAAAGGACTCGTGGCTCTCCTTTTCCACACTGTCCCTACTGGCAGAACAGGAAGGCAACTATTTCTGGAGGACAGAATCCGATAACATTGCCCTCTATTAATCCTCTACTCTCTGTTAAGGACTTTTTTTTTTTTTTTTTGTTCTAAAGTACACTTTTCCATTTTATGTTGCCTCAAGTGCATTTCAGATAACACATGTCAACAGTTCACTGACTACTCTGTAGAGAAAATAACGCCTCTTCAACTGACTCTGTGCTTACCATGCTTTCTCTTTCCTTGTAAATCTGCCTTTACCAATTCTGCAAAAATACAATGCTTGCAACACTTGCCTTATAAATAGAATGTTGCTGATTATAAAGCTGGCAGATTTTTTAATTACTATTTTTATTCTTTTCTTTTTTTTTTTTTTTAAAAAAAAGGGATTCCCCCTGGACTTTCCAATCTCCTTCGTGACTGGTGTGCCACTGGATATATTGCCAAATATATAGGTACTTATCAGGTAAAGATAGAAAGTTCAAAGAAAGAAAATTAGTATTAAAAATAAATTATACCAGGTTTTGAACCAGCAACCTACCGTGTTTTCTTGAAAATAAGGCCCTGTCTTATATTTTTTTGAACCCTGAAATAAGTGCTTGGCCTTATTGCCATGCACTCAAAAGCCCGATTTGGCTTATTATCAGGGATGACTTATTTTGGGATAAACAGGGTACTATTCAGAAGATAAGGGCTTTAGGTATGGTGAAAGTATAGCAGTCATTGTAATAGTAATTCCAAACAGCATGAGAAAAGTATAATGGAATAAAAAAGTATTTTTTTACATGCACATGCATTTTGATGCTTTATGTTTGTGTGTGTGTACACAAACATATATAACCATATATTTAAGTTTCATACATAAAGTTTAATTAAGTTTAAGCGTATTTGATGTGTGTGTGTGTGTATGTGTACATGAGCACAAGCACAAGCACAAACACAAACAAATATATATGCCCTGGAACAGATCCAGAGGAAGGAAAGTTGTTAGGAATTACTTTCCTGGAAGGAAAATGTAGAAGAGCTCAGCAGCAAGGAATTGTCCAGCGGAAGGACAATTGCAAGCTGTTGCCAAAATATTTCTCTACAGGATTTCTTAAATTGTCTTTAGAGTCAGATCAGCCTGAATACTGCTTAAATGATAAAAATGCAGATAGGCTTGTCTTTGGTTTAAAAACATTCTTTGTGATTTCTTTACATAATCTTATAAAAAAATAGTGCTTTCAAGGAAAGACCACAGGCAATTTAAAGCATGAGTGATGAAAAGGAAGTGCCTCCTAAGTCCAGCCTATATAAAAGATATTTCTGGTCTTTAAGCTTGTCTTTGCAATATATTTTTTTCTTTTTTTCTTTTGCCTTGCAAATCCTTGCCTTCTGCTTCCCTTAATAAACTTAGCCTGTGACTGCAATAATGTACTGTATACGGCTCAGGTATACTGTCTGCAAAATCTGCAGACAGATTGCTTTGTGTTTTATAGTATGCATTCTCCTAGAAACGCATAGAAAATGGCTTACTCCTAGCTGCAGCTAGTAAGTTACTGGAGTGCGCTGAATAATTCTCAGTGTTCAGTTTGGCAAGCTCAGGAGTGACCTTCTGAAGTCTCCAGTCACTTTGAGTGCCTTATGTGACAATTATAGCCACTCCACATGTGCTGCCCCACCGTCAAACACATTTCAAGTCTCTGTTCAAGTCCTTGAGATGAAACAAAATGCTCAGCTGGAGTTAGAGAGGGCACTGTGAAAATGATCCACAGCTGAAGATTTCTACTGGCAGACAAATCAAGTCCATTTTGCTTTTCACTGAAAAGGGACCAACACTGAACCACAAAGAGTAAGATTGGAAAAGTGGCAAGAAATGCTTTACAAGTGAAATGCACAACGAAATGTGTTGGTTGACTAGGTTTTGCTCCATCTCAGCACCTAGTCAGCCAGATGATCCACTTCAGAATGACTAAAAATTCAGGATGGAACAAAGTTGATTCTAAAAAGCTAAGTCACTAGAAGCAGGGAAGAACCCCAAACCTAACCCCACCTCAGATTGCGATAATCAATAATCTGCACATCTGAATTATGGCACAATGGTTTTGAATTTTAAAAAAACCAAACATAAAATTCTTAGGCTTCAATGCAAATCTACTGGAAACTGTTTTCAATGCAATTTCACTGGTTATTTGTAAGTTTGTCAACAATGCTACTCCAAAGTCTATAAGTAGTATACAAAATCTCTCAAAGTACTGATGGGTTGTCTGCTACAGCAAAGCAAGGTTGTGGCATACACTTGAAAGGAGACCAGGAACCCTGTAACTGTGGAGTCTGTCTGGCAAGAACAAAGAATGCTTATTCACAAGGAATATGCAGGTGTAAAGCTTGTAAGGATTCTGGGTGGTTAGAAAGCTGATAAAAGTAACAAAGAGTTAGGCAACTTGCAGACCTCAGATAGAAGTTAGGAATAGAGATGGCATGGAGCAAATAAAATGTGTATTAGATAACTCCTAAAGCATTCCTTAGCTAAGATCTAGGAATAGGGATGGCTGGAAACCAATAGAACAATTGTTAGATCAATACTAAAATGTTTATTAGATATTTCTCCTATATCCTGCCTTAACCCACTTTCTGCTTTAGTAAAAATGTATAAACCTTTCTTAATCTTTTGTTCTGGGTTCTTGGCATTTTGGCCAAGTAATCCTTTTCTTAGAGTGCTTCAATAAAAGGAAATAAAACCTGCACCTTGTGTCTTGTGTCCTTCATCGGCCTCGGCACCAGGCTCAGACACAAATTGGGAACAACAGTAGCATGCAGAAGAGCAGTAATATAAAAACTAAGCCTAATAAATCTAAGCCTAATAAAACAATAAGCCATAAAC